TGGGGGCGCGCGGGTTTTTTGGGGGGGGGAGGGGGGGGGGGGGGGGAGACACAGGCAAGTTGAAACCTCTATTAAAATCTTTTTTTTAAATGTTTTTGCATAGACCTACTGCTTGCTAGCAGTCGATCTATGCAAAAAAAAAACCGGAGGGTTCAATAACCCTTTCAGGATTTAGAGAAGACCTCTAAAGAAGAGTGGACCAAAATCCCTCCTGAGATGCGTGCAAACCTAGTAGCCAACTACAAGAAATGTCATACCTCTGTGCTTGTCAACATGGGTTTTTCCACCAATTGTAAGTCCTGTTTTGCTTGGGGATCAAATACTTAATTTTACTCACTGAACTGCAACTCAATTTATAACATTTGTATCATGTGTTCGTTCTGGATTTTTGTTTGACATTCTGTCTATCATTTAAAATACACTTATGATAAAAATTATAGACCTTTCCTTTCTTTGTAAGTGGGCAAACTTACAAAATCTGCACGGGATCAAATTATTTTCCTCACTGTATATTCACTTCTATTAGTTAATAAAATGAAAAAATATATATTTTTGGTAGATTGAGACCATACCTGTGTTCTATGTTGCCATCATTAATAGGTTCTGGAGGCACCCTCCACGGGCAGTTTATCCTACCACCAGGCAAACGCTTGAAATCAAACTGACAGCAGATCTTTGGATCAGGGCCACATGTGTGAGGGATATCATAGCTGTAGAAAGGCATCATATGGCACAAAATGTCGGTGCTGCTTCCCAAATCTGTAATTAAAATAAATTGATCACCAATAAGCTGCTATATTGAACATGGTAGAACGTGGAAATCCTTAAAATGACACATTTCTGAAATGGGAAGGAAGACAAAAGAAAAAACGGTGAATCTTTATAAGCACATGATGTAAGTTATATGTGGTTGCCCAGGTTCATAGTTGAACCTTATGTTTAAATGATAGTATAGAAGATCCATCAAGTTTGTTGACCAAACTGTCAGCACCACATTCCTGAAATCCACATTAGTAAAGCTTAACCATTGGGACTTTTCAGGTGCCACATAATAAAACAAAAACCATCCTGTATGAGTAAAAAGAAGTAGACTTTTATTAATATTAATATTTAACAGCATTAAAATTTACACAATGAACATACAAAAAAAGTGTGCAGATCCAAATGATCAAAGCCTGCATTTTTAATTTAAAGAATCAGTTATTAATAGGTTATTAGGTTCCAAGTAAATGGAAAGTTTGTATGTTATGAATAATTAATTAGTGGCAATGGTCCCAATGTTTAATGAATGTATCATAAATCAAGATGGTTTTAAAAGTATATAGAACAGGATCTAAAATTATATCTGTGTATATATTGTCTGTTTCTACGTTGTATGTTAAATAAGTTATTGTTTGGAAATTTTTATAAAACATTTAACCCCAAAAAAATTAAATATATAAAGCTAGGCTTTATGGAGTTTTTCAGCAAAATTTCACTCAAAAAAAAAATATTAAATGGCTTGTGTATCAAATATTATCAAAAAAAAGCTATAGATTTCTAAACTGGCCAAGAATTTATACCATAACTCTGGGTACACTGGGTGGAGAACATGACTGGACATATGATTTCCCGTTTGTGTGATTGGCTTAGTACTTTTCCAAGGTTACCGCACAGGTAAAACTTCAAGCCCTCACCTTGGGTTTTCCAAGGATATTGCATGTTCAGATGTATAGTTCTTATTGCTTCACGTTAAACCTGAACAATGACTATCTTATATTAAAAAAGAAAAAGTATGCTGATAAAGGAAAATTTACACCTTAGGAGCGATAAGTGAAAAAAAAAAAAGTTACAGCTGCAAAGACATTTCCACTTACACTATTTGCTTCACTGAAAAATTGGCTGAAAAATGACAATTTCCACGGAAATGAAAAGCACCATAAGGAATTAATATTAATGCAATCTCAGTAGCCAAACAATCGGAAGTGCTATACATCTGGCAGTATTGCAGCACGTATCAATACTGACCTAGGTAACTAAGCAAACAATGTAAATTCTGTTTTTAACAATGCATTATTAAACGTAATTGCGCCAGATTTAAAAAAAAAATCAATCCTGTAACATTTAAAGTAAAAAAAAAAAGATAATTTGTGAAGAGATGCAAGGAATGTCCAGTAATTATTAACTGTAAAATGTTAATAATGTAGACTAACAGAAGTTGGATATATTAACTTACCCCAATTTTGTCTCCAAAAAAATTCTAATGTTTTTTTTGCTGCAAAATGTTTCTTAATAGTATAATGGACCCGTTGGATAAGCATGTTTGACAGCCCTGAGCGTTTTAGAAGGTAAGCCATGGTTGGAGAGTGTCCAAATGGGTCCACTGCCCAACCGGATTTTGGCTTGACACCTGTTTAAACAAAAGACAAAAACATGACCATTATCCAAACAAACAATAGAGCTCTTCTAGAATACAAATCTTTCAGAAATTATTCCTACATATTGTAAAAATTATTCTAAAAATTATACAGTATAATGGACCACAGTAAAAAAAAAAACGCAGTGTAAACAAAAAGAAATTTTTTTTAATTTCACCCACTGTGTTGCTATTTAAAAGGAGAACTATGGGGTCAGTGTTTTCCCCATAGTTCTCCTTAGGGTAACGGGAGGACACAAACTAGCGTCCTGTCGTCACCCTAGGCTCAGTATACCGTGGGCTATAGCTCGCGGTATACTGAGACGCCGCAGCCGTAGCGGATCCCGACGTAGATGACGGGATCCGCCCAGCTGATAGCAAAGGTTTGTGTCTAAGATTATGCGAGGGAGGAGAGAAGGGGGGAGGGAGGAGAGAAGGGGAGGGCGCAGGGAGGAGAGAAGGGGAGGGCGCAGGGAGGAGAGAAGGGGAGGAGAGCTGCCTTGCCCATGCTTTAAATAAGAACTCTGGACATAGATATACTTAACCTTTGGGGAGGGGAGGGGGGGCACTGCAATGGTTAAGTGTACTATTTTTGTCTAGGGATTAAAATCTAAAAGTTATACTCACCGAAACCTCAGAGCTAGCTAGCTGGTTGTTAGCCCACTGAAGCGGAGGGAGCGAGGCTGCAGGGACCAGTCTAGCAGCCAGCCGGCTCCAAGGTGAGTATATATTTTTTTCCTCTCATGCACTTAACCCTTGCAGTGTGGGGGGGAGCCCCCCTTCAAGAATATTTATGCCTGGAGTTGTTCTTTAATATTTAACCACTGCATATTCACCATGAAACCAAAAAAGTCTCTGGTCAGTGCTGACATCAATAGGGGGGGGACAACCTTTTTTCTGTGGTATTGCTAATTCTTCACTTGTTTGCACAATAAAGCTAATTTAATGGCTTTATCAACAGCACTTTTTGATACTCTACTTGTACGAGTGCACATGATCTTATCAGTGAATTGTGGGGGACCATACAGGTCCATTAATAAGCTGGAATATTTGATGCGGATATACTTTTCTCTGTTAATAGATCTTAGAGTCAAGTACATGGCAGTCAAATGTGACTGTTAAATGGAACGAAAGATCTCCAAGTATGCAAAACAGGTCTAAAATGGTGTAAACTAATAAACTGTATTGATGGGCATCTTAAGTGTACCTTTAAAAAGGGAAACACCAACTTGGTCCAGTAATATACGGTACAAAATCAAGCTGCATCAGCAAAAAGAAAAACATTAAAATTACCTTACCGAGATTTTTCTCCAGCCATTGGTGTCCTTCAATCAACTGATCGATCAATGAAAAATAATGAGAAGAAGCTTCATCCGCCATTACCCATCCACCTGTAACAATCTCAAACTGTTTCTGCTCGATTAACCTGTTAAATCGTATTAAAAAGGTAAACATTAACACTGCATATAATGTATCAAAGGGCAACATCATTACCGAAGAAGTCTACTTTTCGCTTTCATAGAGAATTATCTGAAACATTACTGAAATCCCAAGTTACCAACTTTATCCTCATTAATCTTGCCTTACCCAAATCCAGAAATAAGATAACAGTGAGCCAAGCAAATCTACCTGCCCTCTAATTATCCCACAGGGTAAGCCTAAAATATTATGGGGGTGATTTACTAACCTAAACACACACACACCAGGTGTGTGTGATTTTCACACAGCAAAACGTATTTATCAACCAAAAAGTCTCTAAAAGCATATTTCCACTAATGCCATATATGGAAAAATCATGCACATGATGCATATATAATGCTGCTTCACAGTTTAGACAAAAATGGTTAGCTCATGCATTTACATTCCTTGCATTCATCAACGCAAGCAACACAACATAGAGCTAATTTACACAACATCACCTTGGAATTCCTTCCGGGCTTTGCACAACACACCTGCTGGGTGTGTACACATTACAAAGGTGTTTAGATTCCACCCATAGATCATGCTGGGAGGGAACACACTGCAGAGGTGTATACACGTTTGTGGTGTTTTTATAAGGTTAGTAAATCAACCCCTATGAGTCAGCCATATTGAGGAGAATAATTGCTATAGAACATTAACTGCTAAATCTTGAGTGCTAATTTTTCAGTGCTCTTTAAAATAAGGGATCACTTCTTAGGGATAAAAGAACAAAGGAAAAAATGGTGTGAGAAAGTTTACGAGGCAATACTTACCACACTTTACTATAATATGTTTTAACTCTCAGGTGTTTCCACAGCCGAAAAGTTTAAATATAGCAAAAAAATGGAAAATGTAGGTGGGCTATGACACCGTGTTAATGGTTTGGGAGCGGCTAACTATCTGGACGGTGATGTCTGGAGAGAGGGAGAGTCACATCTCCCCCCTCCCACAAACTGGACAACCACTTCATTTCATATTTTTTGCCTTTTTATTTTTGTGTGTTCTGTATATCAGTGATGTGTATGAGGTATGTTCATTTCTATGTCTCCCCCCCGAACCATATGTATGTATTCCACATCCGGTTGCATGGCTATTGTTATATGTTCTATTGTTATGGCTCTGTATGTTACAGAGCAGCATGTATACTGTCTTATGGATATGCAAATTCAGAAAACAAAAAAACAAAACAAATGGCTTACCCATTTATATTGCATTATTGCGTGAGAAAAAAGAAAACGTGCTTTTTTTGATATATATATATATATCAAAAAAAGCAAGTTTTCCTTTTTCTCACGCAATAATGCAGTTATTACTTGCAAGAAAGGTGATCGTTTACAAAGACAGAACCACTGTGTTAGGTCTCGTTTACACCATAGCATTGCACCAAATGCATTGTAACAGCATGTTTACCACGTGCTGGTGCGTTGCCATTCATATGAACGGCATCCCAACACACCTGACATCCGAAGGAAAAACACCTTTGTTGAATTTGTTCATGTGTTCAGCTGATACCACTGTGGAAAGGAATTACGCATTTTTACTGCTCTAGCGTCAACAACAAAAAAAGAAAGGCCTTTGCAGTCCATGAATAAATCACTTCTCATTCAACTTCATGTTGTGTCCTTTTGTCATCTTCATTGTTAGTTTAACTGCCTCCGGGACCGCCGTAGTAGAAAAACGGCCAGCCCGGAGCTCTCTAGATCTGAGCGGGCGTCTTTAGACGTCCGCTCAGACACGCCCCATCGCGCGGGGAAATTGCCGTTTTTTTTAAAAAGAGGAGGCGATGCCTGATACCATACAAGCGATCCGCCGGCTTTAGAGCCGGCGGATCGAGTGTATGGGGTGCCGATGGGTGCCCCCCCCTCCGCGGCCCCCGCCTGCCGTTGTCCCGCTGATCCCGTGCTCCGCTGTGTCCGTTGCGAGCCCGGGATGAGCATGTCGGCTGTGTCACAGGGGATCAGAGAGAGCTCGGTACACGAGCTCCCTCCGGTCCCCTCTCCTCTGCAAGAATGCGGAAGTGTTGTATAATACATCACTTCCGCCTTCTTGTGTCACTCTCCAGCTTCAGAAGCTGGAAAGAAGCTGATGGAGCAGATCT